AACAGAGTGAGGAGGGGTGACTAGTGACACGGGGGGGTGACTAGTGACAGTGGGGGGGTGACTAGTGACAGTGGGGGGAGGTGACTAGTGACAGTGGGGGGGGTGACTAGTGACAGTGGGGGGTGATTAGTGACAGTGGGGGGGTGACTAGTGACAGTGGGGGGTGATTAGTGACAGTGGGGGTGACTAGTGACAGTGAGGGGAGGTGACTAGTGACAGTGGGAGGGTGATTAGTGACAGTGGGGGGTGATTAGTGACAGTGGGGGGGTGACTAGTGACAGTGGGGGTGACTAGTATTGTGTGGGGGTGATTAGTACAGTGGGGGGTGATTAGTGACAGTGGGGGATTAGTGACAGTGGGGGGGGACTAGTGACAGGGGGGGTGATTTAGTGACAGTGGGGGTGATTAGTGACAGTGGGGGGTAATTAGTGACAGTGAGGGGAGGTGATTAGTGACAGTGGGGGGGTGACTAGTGACAGTGAGGGGAGGTGATTAGTGACAGTGGGGGGGTAATTAGTGACAGTGAGGGGAGGTGATTAGTGACAGTGGGGGGGTAATTAGTGACAGTGGGGGGGGGAGAGGGGTACCTAGTGCCTACCTGTCTCTCTGCTCCTTGTGGTCTCCCCGGCTGCTGCTCCTTCCCCTCACTGGGCTCTGTGTGTGAGAGGAGTAAACAGGAAGTGAGGTCACTTCCTGTCCCGCCTCTCCCATCACACGAGCACCGCGGGACTGGAAGCAGGAGACCTGGCAGAGAGGGAGAGGAGGTGAAGCTGCCAGGTCTCATGGGAAGGGGGGGGGTGAATTTAGAGAGCGGTAGGTTGTGGGGCCCCGTGCTGCATCAGGGGCCCCACAACCTATCATTTAAATAGTTTTATTTATTTTTTCGTTCCAGCTGGAGAGATCTCTGATCTGATCTCTCCAGCTGGAGCATGGCTGTGCGGCCGGGCCCCTGACTGTCTCGGGCCCTCGGTCCGTGACCGATATGCCCGAGTGGTCAGTCCGCCCCTGGTCACCCCCCCACTGTCACTAATCACCCCCCCACTGTCACTAATCACCCACTGTCACTAGTCACCCCCCACTGTCACTAATCATCCCCCCACTGTCACTAGTCACCCCCCCACTGTCACTAATCACCCCCCCACTGTCACTAGTCACCCCCCCCACTGTCACTAATCACCCCCCACTGTTACTAATCACCCCCCACTGTCACTAGTCACCCCCCACTGTCACTAGTCACCCCCCCCCACTGTCACTAGTCACCTCCCCCCACTGTCACTAGTCACCCCCCCACTGTCACTAGTCACCCCCCCGTGTCACTAGTCACCCCTCCTCACTCTGTTGCTAGAGTGAGGGAGGGGATGACCAGTGACAGAGTGAGGGAGGGGGTGACTAGTGACAGAGTGAGGGACGGGGTGACTAGTAACAGAGTAAGGGAGGGGATGACTAGTGACAGAGGGAGGAATGGGGTGACACAGTGACAGAGGGAGGAGGTGACTAGTGACAGAGTGAAGGGATGACTAGTGACAGAGTTAGGGAGGGAGTGACTAGTGACAGAGGGAGGGATGGGGTGACGTGACAGTCACCACCTCCCTCACTCTGTCACTAGTCACCATCTCCCTCCCTCTGTCACTAGTCACCCTCTCCCTCATTCTGTCACTAGTCACACCCTCCCTCACTAGTCACCCCCCGTCACTAGTCACCCCTCCCTCACTCTGTCACTAGTCACCCCATTCCCTCCCTCACTCTGTCACTAGTCACCTCTCCCTCACTCTGTCACTAGTCACACCCTCCCTCACTCTGTCACTAGAGTGAGGGAATGACTAGTGACAGAGTGAGGGAAGGCGTGACTAGTGGCAGAGTGAGGGAAGGAAGGGATGACTGGTGACAGAGTGAGCGGATGACTGGTGACATAGTGAGTTAGGGGGTGACTAGTGACAGAGTAAGGGACGGAGGGGGTGACTAGTGACAGAGTGAGGGAGGTGGTGACTAGTGACAGAGTGAGGGAGGTGGTGACTGGTGACAGTCACCACCTCCCTCACTCTGTCACTAGTCACCCCTTCCTTTCCTCACTCTGTCACTAGTCACCTCTCCCTCACTCTGTCACTAGTCACACCCTCCCTCACTCTGTCACTAGAGTGAGGGAATGACTAGTGACAGAGTGAGGGAAGGGGTGACTAGTGGCAGAGTGAGGGAAGGAAGGGATGACTGGTGACAGAGTGAGCGGATGACTGGTGACATAGTGAGTTAGGGGGTGACTAGTGACAGAGTAAGGGACGGAGGGGGTGACTAGTGACAGAAAGAGGGAGGGACTAGTGACAGAGTGAGGGAGGTGGTGACTAGTGACAGAGTGAGGGAGGTGGAGACTAGTGACAGTCACCACCTCCCTCACTCTGTCACTAGTCACCCCTTCCTTTCCTCACTCTGCCACTAGTCACCCCTTCCCTCACTCTGTCACTAGTCACCCCCTCACTCTAGTGACAGAGTGAGGGAGGGGGTGACTAGTGACAGAGTGAAAAAGGGGGTGACTAGTGACAGAGTGAGGGAGGTGGTGACTAGTGACAGTCATCCCCTGACTGTCACCAGTCATCCCCTCACTCTGTCACTAGTCACCCCTTCCTTCCCTCACTCTGACACTAGTTACCCCTTCCCTCACTCTGTCACCCCCTCACTCTGTCACTAGTCACCCCCTCACTCTGTCACTTGTCACCCCCTCACTCTAGTGACAGAGTGAGGGAGGGTGTGACTAGTGGCAGAGAGAGGGAGGGGGTGACTAGTGACAGAGTGAGGGAGGGAAGGGGTGACTAGTGACAGAGTGAGGGAGGTGGTGATTAGTGACAGAGGGAGGGATGCGGTGACTAGTGACAGTCACCACCTCCTTCACTCTGTCACTGTCACTCCCTCCCTCACTCTGTCACTGTGTCACCCCCTTCCTCACTCTGTCACTAGTCACCTCTTCCTTCCCTCACTCTGTCACTAGTCACCCCCTCACTCTAGTGACAGAGTGAGGGAGGGTGTGACTAGTGACAGAGGGAGGAGTGACTAGGGACAAAGTGAGGGAGGTGGTGACTAGTGACAGTCACCACCTCCCTCACTCTGTCACCAGTCATCCCCTCACTCTGCCACTAGTCACCCCTTCCCTCCCTCTGTCACCTGTCACCCCCTCACTCTAGTGAAAGAGTGAGGGACGGTGTGACTAGTGACAGAGAAAGAGGGGGGGGGTGACTAGTGACAGAGGGAGGGATGAGGTGACTAGTGACAGTCACCACCTCCTTCACTCTGTCACTAGTCACCCCCTCCCTCACTCTGCCATTGTGTCACCCCCTTCCTCACTCTGTCACTAGTCACCCACTCTCTCCCTCACTCTGTCACTAGTCACCCCCTCTCTCATTCTGTCACTAGTCATCCTCTTCCTTACTGTCACTAGTCCCACCCTCCCTCACTGTGTCACTGTGTCACCCCCTTCCTCACTCTATCACTAGTCACCCCTTCCCTCACTCTGTCACCTGTTACCCCCTCACTCTGTCACTAGTCACCCCCTCACTCTAGTGACAGAGTGAGGGAGGGTGTGACGAGTGACTAGGGACAAAGTGAGGGAGGTGGTGACTAGTGACAGTCACCACCTCCCTCACTCTGCCACTAGTCACCACCTCCCTCACTCTGTCACCAGTCATCCCCTCACTCTGCCACTAGTCACCCCTTCCCTCACTCTGTCACCTGTCACCCCCTCACTCTAGTGACAGAGTGAGGGACGGTGTGACTAGTGACAGTCACCACCTCCTTTACTCTGTCACTAGTCACCCCCTCCCTCACTCTGTCATTGTGTCACCCCTTCCTCACTCTGTCACTAGTCACCCACTCCCTCCCTCCCTCTGTCACTAGTCACTCCCTCCCTCTGTCACTAGTCATTCCCTCCCTCTGTCACTAGTCATTCCTTCCCTCTGTCACCAGTCATCCCCTCACTCTGTCACCAGTCACCTCTTCCCTCCCTCACTTTGCCACTAGTCATCTCTTCCCTCCCTCCCCCACTCTGCCACTAGTCACCCATTCCCTAACTCTGTCACTAGTCACCCCCTCTCCCTCCCTCTGTCACTAGTCACCCACTCTGTCACCAGTCACCCCCACTCACTGTGTCTCCCCCTCACTCTGCCACCACTCAACCCCTCCTTCCCTCACTCTGCCACCAGGTACCCCCTCACTCTGCCACCTGTCACAACCTCCCACACTCTTCCACCTGTCACCTTCTCCCTCATACACTCTGTCACCTGTCACATATGCATTCACACAGACACTATATACAAAAAGCACATGTAGTCATCCAGACATGCACAAGTGCATTCACACAGACTCAAATACAAACATGCATTGATACACAGGTCTTCACAATATACACATCCAAAGGAATGCCGTATTATGAGTTATATTTAACATTTATTTAATGCACGTATATTTGGCCTTCAAAGGGCCTGGGATCTAATTTTGCCCGGGGGCCCCAAAGGCCCTCAGTCCGCCCCTGGAGGAGTATATGGAACAACCTTGCTCCTTGGACTCCAAAGCTATGGAGCATTTGATTATGGCTGTTAGAAGAACATTGGATTTGCCGGAAGAAACCAGAGAATGTTCAGCTTCTGACAGACACTTTGGAGATTTACATAAGAAAAGACCTTCCTTTCCAGTCCACAGCTCTATTAAAGACCTGATGAGGAACGAGTGGCAAATTCCTAGTAAGAGGATTACTAGTCAGGGTCGGCTTTCGAAGTTATATCCGATTAAAGAGGAGGATTCCAGATTGTGGACTACGGTCCCCAAAGTTGATGCTCCTATCATTAAGGTTGCTAAAAGATCCACGCTACCAATTGATAGCAATGCTTAAGGAGCCCATGGATAAAAGGATTGATGCTGATTTATCTAAAGCTTTCATGACAGCGGGTTTAGGTTGCCATCCAGCTGTGTCCATTTCGGCTTTGTCTAGAGCCATGCGTTCCTGGTTGCTTGACTTGGAGGATGACATAGATAAAGGGGTCAGTAGACGTCAGATGGCGGAATCCTTAAGGGATATCAAACTCGCCAGTGACTGGCTTTTGGAATCCTCCACTGACCTCATTAGAATTCTTTCTAAGGTTATGGCACATTCAGTCACCGCTAGAAGGGCGCTTTGGCTGAGATCCTGGGGAGCAGACCTGTCATCCAAGAATAATTTATGCTCACTTCCCTTTATGGGAGAAGTGCTTTTTGGGAAACCTCTGGATGAAGCGATTAAAAAGGCGGCCGAGGTTAAACAGGTCATGCTGCCACAAGATAGGCGTCCAAAGAGACCTCGTCTGGACCGTAGACCTTTTAGGGATCAAGGCTACTTTAGGGAAAGTAAGACTTACAGGCCAGGTAGAGAATTCTCAAGGAATTCCAATTGGAAGAGCGGCCTGAATGGGAAATCCTCTAGGGGCAAGACGCAGACCTCTTCCTTTCGCCCCAACAAGCAATTCTGAAGGTGGCTTACTCCAGGTTCCTCGAGTGGGAGCACGTCTTTCATTCTTTCAGAGGGCCTGGGAAATAATTCCAGATGCTTGGGTAAGATCCATTATCACCGGAGGTTATCATCTGGAATTCGACGAATATCCACCTCCACCAAGGTTTATTCGCACAAGGCTTCCAGCCAACATCCAAAAAAGAGAGGTTTTGACTCTTTATGTCAACAATCTTCTTACGGAAGAAGCCATCATACCTGTACCCATAAAAGAAAGATTCCAGGGATATTATTCCCCCCCTGTTCTTGGTCAAGAAGCCAGAGGGAAAATGGAGGCCTATTTTAGATCTCCACCAGCTCAACCTTTATCTGAGAGTCAGAAAATTTCGGATGGAATCCATTCGCTCCATCATTCCGGTTGTTCATCACCAAGATTGGATGATATCAGTAGACCTCAGGGATGCATATTTTCATGTCCCTATCACGTTCACCCATCAAAGGTTTCTCAGGTTTTGTGTCCGGAAGGAACACTTTCAATTTCAGGCCCTTCCTTTTGGTATAAGTACGGCCCCGAGGACCTTCTCGAAGGTTCTGGTCACCATCATTGCTTTGCTCAGAAAAGAAGGTGTAGCGGTGTTTCACTACCTGGACGACATCCTGGTAGTGGCTCCGGACCTAGCATCAATATTCCAACACAGGCAATTAGTCCTCGACACTCTATCTCATTTCGGTTGGCTCATCAATTACGAGAAGAGTCACTTGAATCCTTCAAGAGAACTGATATTCCTGGGAGCAAATTTCAATACAGACACAGCGATTGTATCCCTCTCACACGACAGAAAGATCAGACTTCGAGATCGGATAAGGGACTTCAGACTAAAGACTTCAGCCTCGGCAAGAGAGTTTATGAGGCTTCTGGGGACTCTTTCCTCTACGATAGAACTTGTCAGATGGGCTCAGTGGAACCTTCGCCCTCTTCAACAATTTTTCCTAAAAAATTTCAGGACCGACTCGAGGGAGTGGGAGACGCTGATTCGCATTCCTTTGATTCTGAAGCAGAAGCTCCTTTGGTGGATGTCGTGGGAAAATCTCTCCAGAGGGTTCCCCTTGCGGGAAATAGATTGGGTGGTCATTACGACAGATGCCAGTCTGACAGGTTGGGGGGCACATTTAGGCAATCAATTTTTTCAAGCAAATTGGCCTCCAAGAACTCAATGCTTGCCTTCCAACATCAGGGAGCTAAGAGCAACCTTTCTGGCGCTTCTTCATTTTCAGCATCTCATCAGGCATTGCTGGGTCAAGTTGAGAGTGGACAACAAAGCGGCGTCTGCCTACATAAACCATCAAGGCGGAACAAGGAGTGTAGCCCTGATGAGAGAGATAGTTCCCATTATGACCTGGGCTCAGAATCATGTGGAAGGCCTGTGTGCCATCTATCTCCCAGGGAAGGAGAATGTAATAGCGGATTTCCTCAGCAGACATCGGATAGAGGCTTCAGAATGGCAACTTTCCAGGAGGATCTTCGCTCGGTTGGTCCAGAAGTGGGGTCTTCCCCAAGTAGACCTCATGGCGACCTTTCGGAATGCGCAGGTTCCATGCTTTGTGTCGAGGAGATACCATCCAAAGGCGGTTGCTCAGGATGCTCTATCCATCAATTGGGTATTCGATCTGGCTTACGTTTTTCCTCCAATTCCCCTCATCCACGCTGTTCTGAGAAAGATCTCCAAGGAACATTGCAAGGTGATAGCTGTACTTCCATTCTGGCCTCGTCGCCCTTGGTTTCCCCTGTTACAGAGGTTATCAGTGGACCTGCCTTGGGAACTTCCAGTCTCAGAAGACCTGCTGATTCAGGGTCCAGTGTTTCATCCGGAGCCTCACAAATTCAGGCTCCATGCATGGCTATTGAGAGGAAGTCTCTAGTTGAACATGGCCTTTCGGACCAGGTTATCTCTACCCTGTTACGTTCCAGGAATCCTTCTACTTCTTCTACTTACCATAAGGTATGGGAAACCTTTGCTCGATGGTGTAATTCCACGGTTCAAGAATTAGGTTCCCCTTCCGTGTCTCAGGTTTTGGGTTTCCTGCAAGCAGGCCTGGAGAGGGGCCTTCAACTTAACACGCTTAAAGTGCACTGCTCTGCTCTTTCAGCTCTTTCCGGTGTTCGTTGGGCATTGAATCCTATTGTAATTCGCTTCTTCAAAGCAGTCATTAGGATCAGACCTCCTATCAAGGTTTTCTCTGCTCCTTGGAATTTGCCTCTGGTTCTGCAGGCCTTGACGGAACATCCCTTCGAACCTATTGATGAGGTCTCTATGCAGGTTCTTTCTCTCAAGACCCTGTTGTTACTGGCCTTGGTATCTGCTAGGAGAATGTCAGATATTAGAGCACTGTCGTCTGAAGAACCATTCACTACCTTCTTCGATGATAGGGTTGTGCTACGGCCTAGACCTGAGTTCCTTCCTAAGGTGGTTACATCCTTTCATCTGAATC